ACTGGACCAGGTTTTGACCTTGGTCAAGAGACACCACCAATTGTGCAGCTGGTACTTCGGGCTTTGTGACAATCACTTGACCTGGACGGCGCTTCTCGTTGCATGTGTTTTGCTGCTCTTCGTGCCCTTCTGGGTGGCCGCAAGGGAGACGTGCTCAGCACTGCAGTCGGACATCGCTATGGCCATTGCGAGTTTTTCACCTGCGGCACTGTCTTTGTACGAAATGGATTCTGAAAGCGAATGATATTCCAGCACCCTCCAACAGGTCTCCTTTGGTGGCTTTTGTTTTGGGAGACTTCAAAGAGCTTCAAAGTAGCTAAAGTGGTTGGTGACCTGTTGGAGGGAGCTGGTAGAACAATTGTTTGTTGTGTGATTCATGTTTTATATATATATATATAGAAACGTAAGTTCGGTCGTTTGCTCGTAGGCCATCGAGTTGATGAGGATATAGTTTGGCTCTGAGAATCGTTCTCATCGGAGTTCGAACCCAATTCCAATCCTCAGAAGGCACCTGGAGCCTATGGCCTTGTGATGGTAGGACACGGCAGAAGTCAGCCGTGTCCTGTGTAGTCAGTCAGTCCAACTTGTTGAGGTCATGTTTGCGATCCAGCACGGGGATCAGGAGCATGAATTCGGGCAAACTCGGTATCTCTTCAGCCATGCAGTGCCTTGGAGCGCCAAGGATCCAGGTTAGTCCAGGAGACACCTCCTCACGTCCAGCCAGTGGGTGGGTCGCGTGACGCACTTGGAGCCCACCATGTGAGCAACCACTGGAATTGAGGCTTTACTGTAGACAGTCGACCTGCGCATGCTCTAGGTGCTTGTCTACCATCAGTATATATTCGCTTGTGAACGAGATAGGGCCCCCACATAAACGAGATACTTTTGCTTGATGACACTAAAGTAGTCCGAACGAGATAGTGACATAGTGTGATCTTCTACTAAAGTAGTCTGAAAGAGATACTGTGACGTGACATCCGACTTAAGTAGTCTAAACGAGATAGGGCACCCACATAGTAGATATAGTGTATTTGAGTTTAATACCAAATACATGCTGCTGCACATGTAGCGAACCACCTTCTAGGTAGGTCAGCCATGGTTTTTGACCCATAATTAGCAAAATTTTTGCATGTCTCGGTTGAAAGCACAGGTGAGCACCTTGTGTTCCTTCACGATGAGCTCTTTTCTGGTAGCGCAGCAGACTTTGGTGCAAGCAGGCTTGGAGAATCCTTTGGGTACCTTCGTGCGAACGGGCACGTGCGTTTCTCAGTGGAGGGAACATGGCTTCAGCCGAGATGGCACTTCAGCTGGGGTGCCGACAGACACGGGCACTGGACTCCCTGGACTCCACAGCAAAGTTCGACGCTCCTGCTGGTGCTGCTGATGGTGTTTGCAGCAGCAACCCCCACCAAAAAACACAAAAGCACCCACGCTGATGGCCATTTTGGGTTCAGGGAATGGAACTTTCTCGAAGCTTTCTTTGACAATTGCCTGCTAGTCACTAGCTGCTGCTAGTCCATGTGTTTGACTGTTGTGCCACCACCCCGCCACCACTTTTATCTCTACCTTTATGCCCCTGCCTCCACTACTACTACTGCTGCTACTACTACTGCTACTGCTGCTACTACTACTACTACGACTACTACTGCTCCTACTATTGCTACTACTGCTACCACTGCTGCTACTGCTACTGCTGACTGCCCACTGCTTTGCAGCAAGTGTTGCTGCTACCACTGCAGTGCTACTGTGCCACCCTGGCATCACTAGTGATGGAATCCACCGTCAAGTTGCACACCCGGCCTGTCGCAGGATGCAACCCACGAGTCTGTGAGGCTTTCCTTGGGCTTCTCACGGTGGTGCTGCTCGTACTTCGGCCCTGGCACCTTCCACGCGTGCTGCGTCGCATGGAGGCACGGCCGCACGGCCAAGAACGGCTTCGGTCCGAAGGGTTCGGTTCCCAGGCGGGGAACAAACGTTCCTCCAACGGTGTGTAGAAAGCAGGTGTGTAGAAACGGAGCCTCTTACAGGCCTTCTGTTGTTTTTACACCTCTCCCCCGATAGGAAGGTGGTTTCGTGGAATCATGTCGGGACCGGTTGAAGTCGAAGCTCGCTGCGTTTTCGCTCCGTTCTTTTTTCAGCCTGTACCGGCTGTTGCCAGCAAGGGTTTTTAAGAAAGTGATGCAGTCCCTAGGGATCCAAGTACCTTCTCAGAAGGTGATTGGAGACACTCTTATGTAGGTTTTGAGGGTCCAAGTACCTTCTGAGAAGGTACTTGGATCCCTAGGGAGTGTATCTCAGTCGTGTACATTATGTATCTATTAATTAGTTATTGCCAGCAGGGGTGCTTAATGGAGGTTAAGGGTGCCCATTATCCACTCACTTAGGGACTAAACACCAACCCTTTGTGACTGCTGGTATATGTACGTATATACATTAAAACATATTAAAACAATAATTGCAACTTCCTGTTAGCTTACTATGTGTTACTCAGGTTTGGTTGAGTTGACTCGACCAGTTCTTGGCCTTCACAGTTCTCCTCTCCATTCATCATCACATTCTCCGAACCCACGACCGGTTGGGTCACCCATCCGTCGAGACCCATCCTCGTCAGTTCAACGTGTTCTTCACCTTCGGTTTCTTGTGGAGCCTTGATCGCTGAGCGAGATGTCCGATGTGACAGGGAGGGCGGCTGGCCGCCGCCCACGGGCCAAGCGGCCAGCGCAAAGCGGCCAAGATGCGGCAAGGGTTGGCTGTGTTTCCCTTGAAGAAAGGCCTCCCTGGGCACAGGCTGTGCGTTTGCCAGGTTTGGTGTTCTTGGAACAGTTCGGTTGCCCCCCCCTCCAAGAAGCATCGAAGGGGATAATAGTCAATTGGAAGGCACTGTTCCTCCATCTCCATGGCGTGGGGGAGGACTCGCAGGGGTGTACGAATGACGGGGCAGTGAAAAGAAATAGCAATATACAGGGCATCCATGTCTTGGAATGAGTAGAGACATCAATCCCCCTTTTTCTGAGCATCAATTGGAGGAGTCCAGCGATTCAACGCATCTGCCCCGCAATTCTGGACCA